AGGTGATGATAATACCCCATCAGACTTTTAAGAGTAAAAATGAAAGAAGCCCTACAGCAGGAGGAACCCAGGCCCCACTGCACCAGAATGAGATCTGACAGCAGAGGGAAATGGTCTGTGGCCACCATCTGCTACACCTGTTGTTACTTTAATTTGCACCAATTTGGCTGAAATAGATTTACCATGGTTTATTACTCCTATCTGGATAGATTGACATGCCTGAAGTTGAACTGTGTTGTAGTGTGATGACTGACTGTTTCCTTAAATTTTTTGATCAGTCTATTTGTCCCTTGTTTGTACAGATCTACACACTTTTCATGCCAATGGTATTCTGCAACTGTCCTCGCTCACATTTCTAAATAAAACAGAAACAAAAAGTAACACAATAGTTCTCGTACTGCATCGGCTCCACCTCACAGCATGGATGACTTCAAACAGTCGATGGTGTGTACAGCGCAATACAGTAAGATCAGTAAGACTTTGTACATTGTTGGTGTTTAGGTGTGCACTAACTCGCTCATCTGGACACGTTTTAATTAAAAGATACTGACGAAGTCATCGAAGCCCAGCAAGGTGCCGACAATTTCTTTGTCAGTTTTCATAACGATGTGAATTCGGGAGCCGATACATTTGTCCACAAGCTCTGCAAAAGGAAACATACAGAGAAATTACACATCCTGTAATTCAGGTGAGTGTTTCTACTTTTTACACTTCACTTACCTACCTACTTTATTAACTGGTGTCTATCTTTGTTAAGAACTCAACAGTTAATCCTTTGAAATACTATAAAGTTTTAATAGTAGCTTCCTAGTCACATGATGTAACATTAAACCGATCCCCCCCAAAAATCAAAACAATATAGGAGTCTGACTGGATTACAAATATGCAACCACATATTTTTAAAAGTATAATCTATAACTATATAGAATAAAAAAGACGACAATGTAATTTTTAAATTTATTTTGAACATGCCAATAGGGCAACAGACGATAATCCATTAATCTGTAAATTTTCAGCTAGAAACTTGCCCTCTCTGCCACTTTAATAAACTAAACCAAATAAGAAGCATTTTGTAGAGAGTAGAGCCGCAACGTTAGCTCCCTACCGGCGTGATGCTAATGCTAACTAGCAAACAACTGCCTACAAAATGATTTTCAGTGAGCCGCGGATCAAACTGCGGCCGTCGCACGCTGACTCGGAACAGCCCCATTTAAACCCACAGACGTCAGGAACAAAACACAGCATCATAGAGATTTTACAAACCAAGCGGGAGCAGCTGCGACGGGTTTGTAGCCGACATGTTCAATCAAGAGACTTCCCTCCACAAAGCCAGAAGTAATCGACAGACGAACAGTAGTGGGGCAGCCAGACAAGATCAATCAATCCAGAAGAATTTCGTCTCTGGGGAAACAAAAGAGTCTCCTTTTTAAGAAATTCAAACATTCAAGGTTGCAACCAAATATAATACACTTTTTAAAAATTCAAACAAAACACACACACACCTGAGGGTGATATTAAATTATTCTGTATATCTCCACACGATGGCGCAAATTGTGTCGAGGAACACATGACATCATTTTTGTGTTTAAAAAAGAGAACAGAACAGAGATCAAGATAATTCACCCCTGTAAAATCTGACCGCGGATAGTTATGCTTTATCTTTCCTTGACAGGTGGAATTTAAGGTAACATACACGTTGTCGTTGAGCGGAAAACACAAGAGACTAAGCTAACTATCTATTTTTTAAATACAGATTATCCGGACATTATTCTAGGGCAAGCTGTCTGATAATATCAATGAAATTCCAGATTGAAATGAAGGAAAATATGAAGGAAATGTTAGTCAACTCATTACTTTTTCCACAAGAACTTTAGCCTGATTGCATTTAAAGCCTTTAAACTCATTCTGTCCTGCTTAAGACAAAAAAAAATACACTCAATATAACTGTTAACTGTTATCTAATTATATTATGTTATATTGGTCAACAGCGAATTAAAACTTAAATTTCGCTAAGCGAAAACGGAAGTGCGCTGCGGGGAATGCTCTTGCCCATTTGGCCAATGGGGACTAAGCGGAAGAGAAAATCATCACTGCTGTGCTGCTGTCTGTCTGTGTCACATATTCAGGGAGATACAGACAGAAAAGTCGGCCTCGGTTAGCTGTGTTTACATCCAATTCCGGAGCTAAAACAACGCTAGACTGC